CGTGCTCAGTCACGGCACAGCCTGTGGACCAATGGGCCAAGATGACTCAAAATTGTGTCGAGTCACAGGTGGCATGACCCGATTTACACCTCTAAGGACAATATTGTAAGCACGTTCAGTGAGCACTTAAAAATTTTTTTGACACTCATTTAACGTGCTTAATTATGTTGTGCCTATCTGATCCCATTTTTCATCGCAAAACAGCCGGATATGTCTACTATGAATCTCCTCCACTATCCATCTATATACTAGTTATCATCACTACACCTATGAAAACTAGATTAATGATTTGATCAAATGCTAGAGTATGAAGTATCCATTTTCATTTTCTAGGGATATTTTTTCTTCTTGCAATCAGTCAAGGCATTTATGAAAACTGCAAGCTTGAGGCCAGAGGGCAATGGGGCAAATCAATAAAATGTGTGACAGATTAATCACCTATAGAGGAAAAATAGAGTTAAATAATCTACCATGACATTTTAACCAACTAGCATTAGGCATGGGTTTGGATTCTTTAAAACAAACAAAGATGGGGTAGTCGTCCTAAGGATTCTTTTAACCAACTACTGCTCCTAAATTGTATCTCTATCAATTAGGAGTGTAGTTTTGAAGAATGAGAAATGGAATTTGCCTAAGGCTTTCATACGAAAGAGAAACAATTAATGCAACACAATTAAATTAGAACTCTTCCTTCCGTCTTTGCAATCTTATGGACACAGACCTTGGAAAAAAACTCCTTACAACTTTCATGCATCGGAGTCCATTCTTATTCCATTCTGAGTGGTCCTTCTTTGCACTGTGACCCATAGAAAAGTACCCGTCTAATTAAGGAGGAGGAAGTGGAAGGTTTGTTTGGATCAGGGGAAAGTTTTCTTGTTCATCCACCACTAATTGGAAATATGCATTCATCCCCCAGCAGGTGTCTCACTCGAAAAAACCCGTTGTCTTTTATTAGGGGACCATGGCGGCCACCCTGTTGATTTCATTGTTTTGTACTAAAAACGAAAAGGAACTGATTGATCGGTTGGATGATTGAACCATTAATTGAACCATCAATGGTTGCCCAAAACATTTTAACTTGGGCCAACCAAACAGCAGACTTCCGTCGAGTGAAGTAGGCCATCATAATTTTGGTTTGGAAAGGGTTCAAGGAATGCCGTCAACTTGCTGAGCCCTATTATATAAGGTGGCGTTTGGGAGGAGAACTTCTGCGTTGATTGAGTCTCATTGGAGAAGCTAATGTGAAATAGCTTCACCAAAAAGTGGATTTTGTGGCTTTTGTAATATAATTCTATTTTGATATACATTGCTTTTGATTAGTGCTTTTTTGATGTAACTTTTGATTAATTTGTGCTTGAGCATATTTATTTTGAAAAGTCAAAAAAGAAACTTGATACCTTCTTTTATAAGCAAGAAAGTTTAAGAGAAAGACTTCAAATATGTGTTTGGAAATGTGGGCGTTTTTAGATTAAATGCGTTGTATTTGATTTGTTTGAAAAACTGAGAAAAGCAACGATAAACCTGTTTATTGATACTTAAGCATCACATCAGTAAAACAGCGAATAAACAGTTATCCGTTGGGGGAAGCGATAAAATGAAGATTCCCCTAATGATAGGCACACACATAAACTGATTTCTAAAAACATCCACTGGAGAAGCTTTTTATCTTTTTTCCTACACTTTATTTGGTTAGAATGGTAGGTTTGGTTCATCACTCAGAAGTACTCTGCCATTTCCAATGTGGGGGGTATCAGCATACCTGGTTCTTTTCAAGCACAAACCTACAAAATCCTAGAAACTTTGCTGTCTGTAGATGCAGACCCCATTCCATTTCATTGAAAGAAGCGGGTGGGATGTTTTGTTTTTTTGTAGAGAAAAAGCGAGGTGGACCTTTACCATTTTTTGAGAAAATAAGAGGAAAAGAGGAAGGAGAAGAAGCATCGTGCCAGTAAGAGGTGAAGAGACAAGGGAAAGACCAGGAGAACATTTGATACTGTGGTGTTGCATTCCTGTTTTATTGCCACATCAGAGATTCTCATTTTGATAGTAGAAAATTTGTGTTTGGTATCTGACACAATTTTTGTAGGAATGCTTTTGAGGAATTGTTGAAATGACACAGCTCTATTTGGAAGGAGTACAAATACAAATATGTATTGAGTGCACAGCCTTGTATTTTATATTATTTTGTATGTATTTCTATTTATATATATATATATATATATATTTGTATTTATATTTCTTCTAAACTGTCTCAGGTATTAATTCTTGCTTGGTTATCTTATTTGGTGCCTGGTGGTGTTCATGGTTTTAAAAAATAACCCGGAAATGGAATAGTTCTGGCTACTGGTTTTTGGGTCAATAGTTCAATTGTCCGGTTTGAACGGATGGCTCATTTTAACAAAAAATTGAAAAAAATAAAAAATGGCCAAAAGCCATTAAATGGGTCGATGGGTTGATGGTTCAACTGCCAGGGTCAATAAATTGTTGACTGATTCAACGGTTTTTAACCAAGAACCATACTTGAGATAAAACGGAACTAATTGCCTGAATGATTCCCAGGCCGAACGGTCCGACCATCTAAATCAACAGTTGTTCAAAAACCATGGTGGTGTCTATATGTCAAAAATATCTCAATTGGGTTTCATGCTTAAATGTTTCTGATCAAACATTTATGCCTTAAATGCAACACCATGGTTACAAACACTGCGTAAACAAAATTAAGAACAGATCAGATTGCGTGGCAGAAATGAAGAAACTCATCAAATACAAGGAAGAACATATTGAGCTTCCACTACAAATCGACCCTTCTCGAAATTCAACCCATAAAAATAATCTGTACTTCATAGACAAATCATAAACTTGAAGCAGGTAATTTAATTAGGGCTAACGACATGTAAGAATATTAAAGTCCTTGGATACTAACTTCAAATGATATATATCAACATAGAAGGGACACATGAAGACTGCAGACGAGAGTTAGAGTTGGGCCGGAGAGGGAGAGATGTGGTGCAGGGAGTTACAGATTGATTAATTGTTGTATGAGTACAATCTACAACTCTGGTCTGGCTTCATAGACATCAACCAAGATAATCTGCACTTCAAAGTGTGAGAAGATGTCATGACTCAAGAAATTTCACTTCACCGATAGCCATACATTCCTCACCAGCCAGTCAACAGCCTAATTGCCTTCATAAATATCCTTAGACCCCGTTTGGGAGGCTGGGCTGAAGATTCAGCTGTTTTGAAGTACTCCAGATCTTAAGCTATTCAAAGAGGATGAAGCAAATGGCCGGCCCTTCAAATGACTGACTGAGCCGATTTGGGTTTTCCAAAATTTTCACCAAACATATCATATAGGTTGTTCATGTGAAACCCACCACAGAATTAAAGTAAGCCACCATGCTGCAGCCCTCGCAAACAGGCACTCACGAGTAGGTCTGAATTTAGGGTTCCACTATGATACCAGAAAAACTTAGGGCCAATCAACGAGTATAATAAAAAAAGAGGTGACCAATCAAATGATATTCATCACATTAATTCACGGAGGTGCTTTGATTAGTAAAAGGCAAAAGCTCTTTTGGCCATGTCTTTTCCCGTATCATAGAATTTCCACTGAATTCAATGTTGGAATTCTATCTGTACTAATATATCCATTCTCGATGATTTAGAGAAAATTCTCTTTCAGCTGTTATTTTGACATCAGTTTCTAAACCTAATTGTTCTTAGTTCAGTTCTTTTGCCATTTTACAGTTGTCTCTGCTCCATAAATCTTTCCTTGTTAATATCTTGCAATCACTACTCCAATATAATTGTCTGTGTCTCCATCATCACCAATTGAAAGCATCCTCATGTCTGAGTTTTCCAGGAAGCAGCCRCTTGATTTCTCTTACACCTCATTAAGGGGAATAAATGGGTAGCATTCGGAACTGGGTACTCTGTGGCAGTTCAGTTCAGCAGTGGGACTGAACTTGTTTGAAAAGCAAACTAAAGCGTCAAACTGATTGGTTCAAGCATATAAACGTAAATAGACCATCTAACATATTTAATGTGATTGATTGAAATTTAGATTTAATGGGCAGCAAATATTTCATCCTATTTAGACATTCATTGTCAAAAAAGTTCTTTTAAAACAAAAAAAAAAGTGATTAGTTTGTCAATATCCGAATGAATGATGAATCACAGTTAATTATAGGAAATAAATAAATAGATAATAATTTGAGAAAAACAAGTAAATGATTATGTGTGAAAGTGTTGCATAGAGATAACCATAAAACAATCATCTTCCATCAACATGTGGCTTGTTACATGGCCATTAGATATTCCAACATGTTGAGGATCAAAACGAGGGCCTATGGCCACTCTACTAACACATATTAGGGTACCTGTTCAGTCCAATATCCCCTAAATGGATTTGACTATGATATGAAAAAGATATGATATCGGAAAAAACAATTAACCAATAAATTGAAATCATAAATGTGATAGCGAATCTTATTTATCAAAATTCATGGATGGACTTTGATCGGTCAAAACTCTTTCCATATAGTATATTTCCAGTATCATAGATTTTCCCTAAACCCTAAGCTTAAGAGTAGATGACGAAGCTACATTTCTGTAGCATAAGGCTTTTCATCATCAGGGCACAAATTCCGTCAAACACTTTAAGAAAGCTCCCAATTGGATGGTTAATATTTTCTGAAAATGGTGTAGTATTTAGCTATGTGGTTTGATGGCAGTGACAACCCAACGACCTAACGGTCAAGATTGATGAGGGCTGTCCTTACAAGCAAAGCTTCCTGTATGGGTTAGCAGCAGATCTAGGGATATGGGGTTCGTACGTGGATTGAGTGTTGACTGGTTCAGAGGATTTCAAAATTTAATCGGATGGTGATGTTGGACAAGCCAAACACTAGCTAGTTTATTTTCATCAATTAATTTCTTTCCTCTTGAATGCGTAGAAATTTCCACGCAGTGATTACTGCTGAGGACCCCCTCTATACATCTCCTTTCACTCGCAAAACTTAGGCTTCTATTGAACTTCGGCCTAACCTTCTTCTTCTTCTTCTTAAAGGAAACCACCTAGCCATGGAGGGTCTGCCACCAGGCTATCGTTTCTACCCAACAGAGGAAGAGCTGATTACGTTCTATCTTTATAACAAGCTTGAAGGAAAGAGAGAGGATTTGGAGCACGTCATACCAGTCGTGGACATTTACAAGCTCGATCCATGGCAACTCCCAAGTTAGAATCTTCACTTCCTGTTCCTCTTTTCACCTGCTTTTCCTTAAAAATGGTACTTGAAAATTGAAATAATCTTCTAGCTAGACTTCAGCATTTTCAGGTTATTCTGACTTGAATTGCCCCCATCTCTTTTCCTCATTTCTTCTTTTTTCTTCGGCCCCTCCCCTCAAATCAGAGCTTCATCATCAGCTCTTCACCTTTTCTTTTTCTTGGGTTTCAGAGCTTGCAGGAGCATTGTGCCTTGGAGACCCAGAGCAGTGGTTTTTCTTCATTCCTAGACAAGAGCGAGAATCCCGTGGAGGGAGACCAACTCGAACAACGAGTTCTGGATACTGGAAAGCCACCGGCTCTCCTGGTTACGTCTACTCTTCCAATTATCAGGTTATCGGCGTCAAGAAAACCATGGTTTTCTACAGAGGCAAAGCACCTTCTGGATGCAAAACCAAATGGAAGATGAACGAGTACAGAGCCATCCATGGAGAAGCTACCTCATCCAACAGTGCAACTCCAGTGGTAAGAATTCAATACTCTCTCTCTCTCTCTCTCTTGAAGATTACAAATTAAAAGAGTTGTATACGTCGCCAGGGTCCTGTTGCAGTAAATTAAGGACTACATCTAGTTCAAAAGGTTTCTGAATTGAATATGGTTCAACTTTTGCAGTTAAGGAACGAATTCAGTCTGTGTCGAGTTTACGTGAAATCAGGTTGCTTGAGATCTTTCGATCGACGTCCTTTGGAAGGTACGACAAGCAACAACCAGATGCAGCAATCTCATGCGGATAGGGAGACAACATCCCATCAGACACCTCCAAATGTGGAGAAAAACAGCTCCCATGAGATCTTGCCCTCAGGCGACCATGCTCATACCTCCATACTCGGAGAAGCTATAAACTGGATGATGTTTGACGGTTCCACCCATCTGTGGGAATGGGATCAATTGTTCTTGGACTTGGGAAAATGAAAAAGAAAAAGGTCTGTATCCTTAGAAGTGAAATTGACAGACTACTGGAGTTAGTTATATTGGCAGAAATATGTAGGCCTTATTAGCTAAACAATTTAGCAGCGTCTATAAGAAAGAAAAGGGGGTGTTTTTATATTATTTATATAAGTTTTTATTTTATCTGGTGGAAGGGGAAATGGAATTAAATTGCAAGAAATTTAGATTCTTGTGTATGTAGCCAACATTGAATGAATTTTTGTTCTAGAATTTTCATAACGTGAACATATATAGTTTAACTCATTTTCAATCAAATTAATTTTAAAATCACTTTTGAAAAGCTAGTCTCAGCACATAATACAAATTCCAAATTTAATTTCAAGAAAGCCTAGCTAGCTAGGGGTGTTCTCCGATGTGAATTTGCTGTTCTTGTTGCATAAATTTTAAAAAGAAATCAAAACCACCTAGTTTAAAAAGATATTGGTTCTATAAACAAAAACACAGGAAATATATTCTTAGTTTTCTGTGTTTCTTTGTCAAAATTAAAACCAAAAAAGCGTTTAGAAACCACATGTTTTCATCTGGTTACTTAGTTCCATATTTACAAATCAAATAATTTCTGTACTCCAACATTTGTTTTTATTTTATATATTTTCTCCAATGGGAATTTTTTTTCTTGTTTCGAGATCCAAAGATAAATCAAACAAACCATGAATCTGGTTTGAAAATAATCTAGTTTTTAAAATAAAAACATAGAAAACATGTTCTTGGTTATATATGTATTTTTCTTTTGTTTTCAAAACTAAAACAAAAAACATGTTCTTGAATTTGTGGTTAAAGAACAAATTTTCATTTGGTTATCAATACCATGTTCCCTGAATAATATCAATTGATCTCTGCTACTAGAAATTAAGTTTGATTTTGTTTAAAAACCATCAATATGATGGTTTTTGTTTATGTTTAAAACCAACATTTTACCAACTTTTCATGTTCCTGGGAGCTGCTTGTATTGTTTTGAGGGTTAAGCTACTCGCCGCCCCCTCCCTCTTACTTTTTGATCATGACAATTCAATAAAGATTTCTTTTCTTAAAAAAAGCATAATTTTTTTTTCCTGAAATAAGACAACTTGTTTATGCTTCTTAAAATAAAACCTCAGTTAAAGAAAAAGTTTTTTATTTTTTGGAAATGTGATAATTTAAAAAACAAATGAAAACAAAAATTCTTGTTGTACAAGTCCCCCTAATTAATAGTGACTCTTCAATTTAATTTGATTTAGAATTGTCTATAGATGCTTATCTTTAGTTGCTTGCTGTTAGTTTGTCATAACACTTAAAAGTTGGTGGTTTGCTAGTCGGGTTCTTTTATTGAAGAGTATATATGTATGATCTAGGAAGCTACCATGGAAAATCAGTTTGGATCTCAAATAGGGTCCTACAGTTCCTGTCCACATATCCTTATCCAAAGCTACCAAGGAAAATCAGTTTGATGCCTTTTCTATAAAAATAGAAGTTCATAGAGCCTATCTAGAGTGGAGGAGCAAAAACAATACAGATTCAGATATCATTAATTAGATGAATGGTCTGGATTAGCCACAGGGTTATTTCACAATGTATCAAAAAAAAAAAAAATGTTTGGGTTCATCTTGGGAGGCTCCCTATTTGACCCAATTAGGGAACCYTTCACAAACCAATGTCCCACACGTTCCCATCCCTTTCTACCATCAACACAAATTATTCATGATGCAAATCCCCATTTAGATTCAATATTAGTATTTTAGAAGTAAATCGAGATTCATTGTGGGGAAGCAAACCTAACTTTTAGGCTACATATGTTTGGTTTTAAGGAAAAGGTAGACAAAGGTGAGATCCAATCAACCATTACATTTCCGCCGTGTATTGGGAACATTTTCTGATAATGCATGACATCATTATTTCTAGTATTATCATCGGGAGATGTTCCCAATATACGGCGGAGATGTGCTGTGGGACGTTGTGGGAAGCTGATTTGAACTCGGAAAACCTATACAAAGTTTGTAAAAGTTTTCCTACCTTTTCCTTCAAACCAATCATAACCTTAAATGATCAAATCCTCAAACATGTATACTCGTAATGAAAATGTTATAGTTGTAAAAATAACAGTAGGAGAGATAGAATTTTACATTACTGATTCTCCATATAATCAAATACAGTATAGTTATTTTGGTTAGAAAATTGGTTTTGTTTTTAGAGAATCAAAACCTAACTCCATTTGAAAACAACTTTTCTCTCTCTCTCATGGGAAGAAAGAACGTCCAAAGGATAATAAGAATATGGATTTGGGTTCAGTAACTCTATAGACATACTAGTTCTAATGATACAATTAGAATGACAAATTAATATTTTATCAATAAATAGCTCATATGATCTAAGAAAATATTGAGAAACCAACATGGTTTCACAGTAAATAAATAAGATTCTCTAATATCTATTAATTAGTAATTAAAAAAATCAATGTATAATTAGATATTAGAATGTAACATTTTTTGTTCCTAACAATTTACATAAAATACCATATTAGCCTTGATTTTCCAAAAAATTGATAACATAAACTTATAAAAAAAGGTTTGAAGGGACAACCCATATCTTTCACCCATACTTTCTGATGAAAGAAGATTTGGCCCGACCTCGTAACCACTCAACACGTGGCAAAGGCAACAACTCAGGATAACAACTCGCCAAGGCACGAGCTCCGAAAGGAGGAATCAGCGGTTTGAACTCCCTGCAAAGAGCCCGAAGTCCCCGTAAGAAGCCCGAGCTCTCCCATAGGCCCCGAGCCTTACGAATACAAAGGGCAACGACCCGAACTGGCCTGCCCCATGGCAGTTCGAGCCACACCTCTATCCGAACTCAAGACTTAACCTCGCACACCACTCCAACACTTCGCCTCCAGGACACCGAACTGAACAAACCACACCGTACCTGACACCGAAGGAGTCCATATCCAGGGGCGGCGCACCTGACTGACTTGGGATCTGACGCTTGACAGCTGCACTCCAACGGCCACCTGCCACCGCCATCTCCAGTTACAGAGACGGCTCCGATAAAGAGCAGTGGCGGTTCTGTCCCAGCAGAGGTGATAGCATCCGAACTGGTAGAAGCACAGAAGTAATCATACCCGACCTGATAGAAGCCTAGGAGTGAGTGCACGAATTGGTTATAAAAGGCTCTTTACCCCTCAAGAACAAGGTAGGTGAACTTTGCGCCATTTGGTTTTATCTTACCTTTGAGAGAATACTGACTTGAGCTTCGGAGCAATCTCACCGGGTTCCTCCCCGGAGACTCCCCACTTTCTTCTCCGTTTCAGGCCCCTTGTAGCTCCAGTTGAAGGCAAGGTCGTTGACAGCTAGGACCGGCCGGATTGCGCACCATCAATTGGCGCCGTCTGTGGGAAACGCTTCTAAAAGCCTCCCTCTAAAAAACTCTCATAACCTCCTTTTTCCAAAAACCCCAACACTCATGGCTTCTTCCAGCAATGCCGGACGTGGCACGAAGATGAACACCACCGGGAAACAACTTCAAGTCCCCGTGGTGTGCATCGGACAGTTCATCATCCCCCTTCCGGTGGATGGGATCCCCAGCTTGAATGCACCACAAACAGTGGCGCCTGTAAACTTTCCTGCCATGAACGTCCCCTTTCCTCTCCCTGTCGAAACAACCTTTGCTGAACCAATTGTTGTCCCCCTGGCGACCAGCCAGAACCAGTTGGATGACCTGATGCAATGCATAAGGGCAATGCAAGCCCAAATGCAACAATTCCAGCAACATCAGCTCCAGCAGCACCAAGTACTGCACCACATCTCTCAGTATCACAATCAGCAGCAGTTCCCCCAATTGCCTCTGAACCAACCACTACTTCCACCTCGGCACCTTGCTCCAAAGCCGGTCAAGCCCTCCCCACAGGGTGGACGCCGTCACCGAGGAGAGGCCTCCCAACCTCAGAACCCCCACAAGAGCCAGGCCTCATCCCCGGGCCGAGGGGAAAGAAAAATCACCCCCGCCTCGCAGCTC